AGCATTTTCTTGTTTCAGAAGTTGACGTTACCAAACACTTATTTTTACGATATGGCTGGTATCTGCATGATCTAGGAAAAGCTGAGTTGAAGGATCTACTATCTGAATTAAGAGAGGGTACAGCAATGAGGAGAGTGTATCCCCTTAACTTATTTTTCCCCTTCAAAGTATGAATAAGGAAGAGGCAAACTCCTAAAACATAGGACTCAAAGAGGACAGGGGAGCTATCTTACAGTTTTTTTTCCCAGAGGCAAATGTGTTAGAAATATGTATTTTAACTTAAACAGCAAAAAACTTAATTTGTTTTTTTACACTGAGAGGCTGTCATTAAGGTTACATGTCTATATCAGTTATGTGTATATTTTATGTACTTAGCTTTATAAGAAATGCTGTTCTTGCCACAATTAAATCACCTGACATCTGAAAATAACTGGGATTTCTCACTTTTATAATAATGGGTAACAGCATACTGTAGTTTGAAAGCACAGTCCTACTACACTTGCAAATATTTGTTTGGTAGTGTAATTGAGTGGTTAGATAGTAACCTTACTACTATGGTATGAATTAATCTCCTTTTAAAAATAAAAAAAAGTTTAGCCTCCTTTGTGGTTTAAAGAAGAGATAGCCTTAGCAACTTTAAAATATATATATTTTTTTTCAGGTTGGTTGTGTTAAATTTCCAAGGCAAAAAAAAAAAATGATTCTTACTTTATGTACTTGTGCCTTTATATACAGGCTGGAATGCTTTAGGGTAGGTAAGTAATCTCTTGATGTGCCTCAAAGCTGTTAGCTGTTTTGTTTCTCCATGGTAACAGGAGTATAAAGCAGTATGAGCATGTTACTGAAGTAGGCAGACATGCCATTGTTTAGGAATGGGATTACATGTGAGGACTGCAGCTCTAGGGTTATTCTGAATGAGGGCATTTTCTAACACAGGTGCTGTGAATGTGTGCAGACATGCTAATTTAAGGTAAGGCTTAGGGATCCAAAACTGGCCTAAAAGAATCTATCAATCTATAAAGTTTGCAGTGGTGAGAGGGATTATCAGGTGATTAGGTTGACGAAGCTCTTCCAGAAACATGGCTCAATATGTGATGAGGCCTGTGCCAGATCAAGGTCTAAACATAGGGCTCTGTCTGAGGTTCAGATATAAAGACTTAATGATGTGTCTTCTTTTAAAATTTTTACATTCAAAATTCAAAAAAAGAATATGAAGGTTGGATAGGCAGATGACATCTAAATCAATGCAGTTATCTGTAAGCTTCAGTCAGTAATCTTGCAATATTAACTAGGTGAACCCTGTTTACTTTTGTTCCCACCTTGGCAGAACAGTAAATATCAAGAGTACCTCAGCAGACTAGCTAAGATAGCTCTTTCATGAAGAAATTAGCAAAGGTAATGATTTATATTGGTGCAGCTTGATCATGCACTGACCTCTCCCTAGCACTGATGCACACTTTTCCTTCCCCTATTGGGATGGCTCTGACCTAGACTGAGATAAAATCTACTAACTTGCATTTATAGTAAGGGAAAGGTTCTGGCAACCTTTTTCCCATCTGTATGTATTGCATGAGGGAGCTCTCCCTGTCTCTGTTCCAACAAGCTGTTGTGTAGTGATGGGTTAAGCTAACCTTGCTGACTGAGTCATGTTCCTCCAAATGGATCCAGCCTGACCCAGGACAGAGCAGTGTGTGTGTGTATGTGCTTAAAAGAGCCCTTTCCTTGTGCAGTTAAAACAGGGTGACTTCCTCATCGCTCCTCCCTTCCTCTTGGTGCAGGTAAACACAATTTGTTCTGGTTCAGAAGGCCACGCAACCTCTACCAACACGAGGCAACTTCATGCCAAACACACCTTCCCTTCAGTAGGACTTCATACTGATCTTCTAGTTGTTTGACTTGCCTTTTTTTTTCCTGCAAATGAAAATTAGCTTTTTACCCAGGCTCCCTAAGGAAGCAGACTTGTAGATCAGTGCTGCCTTTCTGTTTATGTGAAACCCTCTCTGCTGTTTGTTTTCAAGTAACTTTTGACCAAATTGGAAGAATTCAACCACTGTACAACTTGGTGGCTGAGGATAGCCCCAAATTAATGCTGTGCAGAGGGGAAAAAGAGGGAAAACTGAGCAGTTTTGGTTAGCCGATCGGCTCTGTGCTGAGCTCCAGAGTAGTGCTTCTTGCCTGGTGGAGTTAATGCACTTGAAAAACCTTTGTTAGCCCTGTGGCTTTGTTAGCCCCAGCCTGGTCTAGTTAAAGATCAGGTCTATGCATGCCTCTTACTGCTGCAGCCGGTGAAGAAAAGGGTATATAGCTCTACTTTTGTCCTTATGTAACTGTGTTAACGAGGTTGTATCAGGGTAACTATTTCGAGTGACAGTGTTCGTTTTCAAACCCTTTACGCACTAAACTCTGCTGACTAGGCCCGAGATGGGTGTCCGGGAGCGAGGGAAGGAGCTGCCCTGCCTGCAAGGCTGTGGCCTGAA